AGTCCAATCTTCTTCTTCTTCCACGCTGGCATCCACACCCAGCTGCTTCCGGTCAGGTGTAAAAGTGCGGAGACAAAAGATGACCTTGGGCTTCTAGTAAAGAATGAAAACAATAACACATTCCACAATCCTACTCCTTTCCATTCCCCCCTCCCATCAACTATACTAAAGAAACAGCATAATGAAATAAGAGAAAGTGTGGCGGGCCAAAATTCTAAAAGGAATATAATTTCAGGCCTGACAGCAGCACTTACAGACCCATATAGCGGACAATATTCTGGTTTGATGTTTGGAGAACTGCTTTGATTGTAGGCTTGTGTCTCAAAGACGTTTTGCCTTTGTTCCCAGGCCAGGCGTCCTCGAGGCGGTTAAATCTGGCCACTTGCCAATGTCTTCCTCCCCACCCCTTACAACCTTCATCTCTCCACCTGCCCACCTTCCCCAATTTCGTCTTACACCCCCCTCCCTTCCTCCAGTTATGCCAGGATGCCAGTCAGCTGTAGCGAAGATGGCAGAGCTAACCTCTTTCATATAATCATCATTGGGCTTTCCCTGTAGGTCTCCACTAACGTACCCATGGAGGATACCCCGAATAGTCAGGTGGCTGACATGGAAGATTTTGGGGTCAGCAAACCTCTGCACCCAGTGCCCCCCATGTCAAGCAAGCGTAAACGAATCCCCACCGCGGAGGAGAGCCAGCAGCAGTCCCAAGCTCTGGAGCTCACCCAGTCCTGGAGGGAGATCCTGGGGCCCCCGCCGCCCGCTGGCACCACTAAGGTAAGTCGGCTTGCTCAGGGCTGCAACTGCATCAGAGAGCAGGCCGAAAGCTTCTCAGCCAATTAGCAGCGGGGTTGCTTTGAGGTTGGGGCTGCCCCGCTGGGAAAACCGTTGACCCTTTCGCCCCTGAGATAGTTTTCAGTAAAAAGGAAGTGATTGCAAATTTATCGCCATTGCTCAGATGGGCTTGGTTATCTCTGCAGGGAGCAGTTCCAACTCAAAGGTGTATTGGGCATAGGTGTTGTGGCTTGTCAGCTGCCAGCCCCTCCAGCGGAGGAGGAGGTGGCGTGGGAGTCAGGGTCAGCATCAAGGCAACCTGAGGGGGAAGAGGGAATGGAGCTGTCAGAGAGAGAGAGAGAGGCAGAGCCTGGGCCGTTCGTCAGCCCTCAGGCGGAGAGTCAACAGCCTCCAGGTCTGGAGGTGGCTGATGAGGAAGAGGGGGAACAGCTGGCCACAGTGCCTGATTAGCGAATGCGCAGAAGGCAGAGGAGAGGAGAGCAGTGGAAATCTATAAGCCGGTCAGCATCAAGGTAATCTGAGGTGGAAGAGGGAATGGAGCTGTCAGAGAGAGAGGGAGGGAGAGAGGGAGGAAGAGAGAGAGAGAGGCGGAGCCTGGGCTGTCCGTCAGCCCTCAGGCGGAGAGTCAACAGCCTCCAGGTCTGGAGGTGGCTGATGAGGAAGAGGGGGGACAGCTGGCTCCAGTGCCTGATTTGTGAATGCACAGAAGGGAATGGAGAGGAGAACAGTGGAAATCTATGGGCCGGTCAGCATCAAGGTTATCTGAGAACTCCAAGGTGGAAGAGGGAATGGAGCTGTCAGAGAGAGAGACAGACAGACAGACAGAGATGGAACCTGGGCCGTCCATCAGCCCTCCAATAGAGAGTCAACAGCCCCCAGGTCTGGAGGTGGCTGATGAGGAAAAGGAGGAACAGCTGGGTCCAGTGCCTGACACATGGCTGCGCAGAAGGCAGAGGAGAGGAGAGCAGTGGAAATCTATGGGACGGTCCTTGGGACGGAAGCGCCACTGCTGCTAGCTAAGCCCCACCCTAGCTCTGGGGATAAAAGGCAGGAGGTGGAGATAAATAGATGCGGCAGAGGAGAGGAGAGCAGTGGAAATCTATGGGCTGGTCAGCATCAAGGCAACCTGAGAACCCGAGGGGGAAGAGGGAATGGAACTGTCAGAGAGAGAGGAGGGAGGGAGGAAGAGAGAGAGAGAGAGGCGGAGCCTGGGCCGTCCGTCAGCCCTCAGGTGGAGAGTCAACAGCTCCCAGGTGTGGAGGTGGCTGATGAGGAAGAGGGGGAACAGCTGAGTCCAGTGCCTGATTATCGAATGCTCAGAGGAGAGGAGAGCAGTGGAAATCTATGGGACGGTCCTTGAGACAGAAGAGTTCCCCTCTCCACCACCACCCCTCCAGCCGGACCGCCAAGCCCCAAAGTTTGGGGACCCCTGGTCTAGGTGAAATATTTCAGGTGCCTGAGCTCAAGCACCTGAGGCTGCTTTGCAGCTGCCTGTGCCCCCACCCCACTCAACCGCTGCCTCCGTCCGCTTTGCTCTGCCGCAGGAGGAACGCCTTCTCTGGCTGCGCTACCATAAGAAAAAGTGGGAGCTGCAGGCCCGACAACGGCAGGAGCGCCGGAAGAAGCGGAGGCTGGCCAACGGAGAAGCAGCTCCCGGGGGCGGAGTAATCCGGGCCGGGCCCTCCAAGGGGCTGAGCAATTTCCTGCGCAAGACTGCGCGGAGTATCCTCGACATGCCGTGGCAAGTAATCCAGGTACGGGCACCCTCACTGCCGAGGACGGCGGGCGCGTGAGCCCCGACGTTCAGCGCGGGCCGCACTGCTTATACGCTGACCTGATAATCCTCTAGCTGTGTTGCACTTTGATTCCCAGAATCCTTTGCCGGACAGGACAGGATTCCTGTCTACCCCATCACGATGGGAGCTGTCCTGTGATCGAAGGGCCCGCAGTCCCCGGAGCAGAGCTTAAGTTGGAATTCCTAAGAGCGTTCCTTCTTTTTCTTTGCTCCCATTTCTCCTCTGATACAAAATTTGGATTATTCTTCCTTAGACTCTTAACTGCCTTTCACAAGGACAATACCGTTAACCGAGGATCACCAACCTTTCGGACCTCAGGGGCCACTACATTCATAGTTTTAAATCCTGTGGACCACTAATATTTACCTGCCTAGTGACTATATCTATATCTATATCTATATCTATATCTATATCTATATCTAT